TATTGGTGTTGCGCTGATGAGCGCTGGACTCAGGGAAACTTTGAAACACTTTGTATTCATATTTTTGATAATATAAGCTGTGAAACTCGGTTCTCATCTTCTCTACCTTTGTCTATTATCAGACTACTGTTCGTTGTGTGTGGGAGAACGATGCATGGCATGTACACACTTGCGTGAGATGGTCTCCAGGACCCCTGCACTAGCATTATTAGTCACCATTATTATCAGATATATTATTGATTACTGGTGCCTAAAATGAAACGGTTTCACCCAGTCACCCGACAGTTGCAGACATTAGGACTCTATCCCTACACCTATCCCCCTAACCCTGTACAATGAACCCGTAGTCCTATGTGAGATTTGCACCCACACCCTGTCCCTAAACCCTGTAGGTTAGTTAGTAGGGTTATCACTGTGGTTAGGACTTGATCCAGAGATCATCGTATAAGGAGTTTAGTATGTTACCGTTAATCTTAGTTAGGGTCCTTCTGGAAGTGCAATCAGACTCGCAATCATTCACACTTCGCATGCATGTACACAGGCAATACAGCAAACTGGCGGCAATCGCCCACTCAAAGCTCAGAGATATAGTAACCACGGACACAGTTCAGATACACTCTCAATTCAAATGGCTATGGCGCAACAGCGCCTGTACAACACTCTGTTCGTCACTGCTCCTCACTCTGCTGTACACGCACACTCAACTAGGATCACCCTGGATACCCCACACATCACACACTCTGAACACTCGCACACACACACTTCACTACCAGCTATGGCGGCTATGGCCGCTCTACTCTATCGCTATGGCTACCCTACTTTCCTTCAGCCCACTTCGACTTTGGGCGCCTCTGCAGACCACCTCTCACAAGTCACTATGGCAGCGCTTCCGCATGGCTTCCGCAGGAATGAATCCATGGCTCTTCGCTGCCTCTTGATTTATACTTCTGTAACTCGTTGGTCTGCCTCTTTCCACTGGGCCCATGGTGCACACAGTCCCCCTTGGTACTTGCTGACTGTGCAAAGTAAGACTGGGACTGGGTACCACTGACTAAGCGAAGTTGAACACCACTTGCCCACTTGCCTCTGGCCTTCTGTGTAAAACGTGAGAGGAAACTCGAAAGGCCACTTCCGGACCTTCCGGAAGACCGTGGACTTGGCCCTTCAATACTGTAGCAGCTACGACCTTGAGCAGCTACGACCTTGACCTTTCGGAGGAGCTACAGCTACGACCTTGACCTTTTGGAGGAGCTACAGCTACGACTTCTAGACTCACTAAGACTCCTATCCGACAGGTCTACAGATCGAATCCCCTACAACCTACGGACCTAAAACAGCCTACCAACTGCTTGCGAATACACAGGTCACGGGTTCAAACACTCAGGGATCAACTCGATACTGTACATGGGTAAGGTAAGATCTGGGGATCGAACCCTGGGATCTACATCTGCCTCTGCAAAGGTGAAAACCGTTTCACTCCCGCCGGCCTAAATTCGAGGTCCTCCGAGAATAACTTAGTCTAAGGCAGGACCTTAGGACCTTTACCTTTCTTATCTCTCTTGTAGGGTCTAACTATGTCGGGAGCTGTCTCTAGAAGTTCCGTTCTAGTAAACCAGCGATCGTCCTCGGGCTCCTGATAAGCGAATCGGACTTTATATTGTTTCTGTGGACGACCTCTACCTCCTGTTCTGAACACATCTTCACCTACAATGCCATCAATGTCATATCTTCCGTCCATGTCTGGGGGGATCATGGATCTCCTAGATGGAAACTGTTTGGAATGCAGGGTAGGTGTGGAGGTGTGCTGGAATCTCAATAGTGTAGGACAGTCCATCCTCGCCGCCCTTGACCTCTAGGACTGGCCACAATCCTCGATATGCAGGCAGTAACTTCTGCGAAATGTTCTCCTCAGGAGCAAACTCCTTGACTTGACCCAGACTAAGTCGCCTACTTGAAACTGCGATGGGCGACGACGCTTGTTGGCTTGCTCTATCATCTTATGCTGGGCCTTCCTGAGGTTCTCTACAATAGTAGCTAGTTCGTTCTCGTGTTGTATCGCGAACTCCCTAGTATCGGGCGGTAGCCTGTAAATTTGATCCTGGTTAAGTCCTTCAAACGGTCTGCGCGGTCTAAAGGACTTGTGCAGCTCGTTGGGAGTGCGACAGGTAGACAAGTGCACACTGTTGTTGTAGGCGCTTGCTACCTTGGGAAGCATCTCATCCCAGTTGATTTGATCAGGTCTAATGTACATACACAGAACTTGCTGCAGGATTTTATTCATCTATTCAGTCTGACCGTTGGTCTCTCGATGACGGCCAGATGACATTAACAACTTAGAGCCATAGACTCCCATCAATTCCTGCCAGTTCTGACGGGTGAACCGGGTGTCTCTATCACTAACTATAGACAATGGGACCCCGTGCTCACTGACCCAATGATCAAAAAACTTTTGAATCACTAACTCTGTACGTGCCTCAGAAGGCAAAGGAATAAAGACTGCATACTTACTAAATCTATCGATTACGACCATGACTTGGCTCTTGCCATGCCTACTCTTGACGCCAGTATCCATTAAGTCAATTGATACTGAATCTCCTGGCTGGTCAGGAATAGGCAAGGGTCTGATAAGACCTAGAGGGGCACGCGTGGTGGTCTTGTTCCTTTGACAGACCTTACAACTGCGGACATACTCTATGCAGTCGCTCTTCATACCGGGCCACGTGTACGTGTGCATTAGGTTGGCTAAAGTCTTTTGCCAACCAAAGTGTCCCTCTGTATCGTGACATTCCCCTAGGATTAAACTACGGATCTCTTCACTGTTGGGAACACAAAATCGATCGAATACGTTAGTCTTCTCGAACAACAGTCCATCAGTAGTCCGGTAATCCGGTTCAGACTCTGGGGCCTCCTTCACTTTCCTGAGGAGGTCACATAGATAGGGTCCTGCGCATAGCCCTCTCTAACCTTCTGCTGCAGGTCTCCCCCTATATCTAGATAATGAACTATCGCCCCAAAGTAGTCCGCTCTCCTACTCAGAGCGTCCGCAACTACATTATACTTCCCTTTTACTGGCTTCAGCTCAAAATCGTATTGGTCTATCTCAGCGGCCCACCTAGTAAGCTTAGGTGTCATCTTAGCCTGTGTCTTCAACCATCTTAATGTCTCGTGGTCTGAATAGACTTTGAAGTGCCTCCCAAGCAAGTAGTGCTTCCAGTGCTCTAATGCTTGCCTGAGAGCGTACAGTTCCCTTTCATACGTAGATGTCGCTACCTTCTTTGAAGGCATCCTAGCAGACATGAACTCTACGGGTCTATAACCATTGCCATCGTCTTGCTGTAGGATAGCACCTATGCCGTACTGACTCACGTTCGTGGTAACGACAAAGGGTAGAGACGGATCGGCTACTTTTAGAACTGGATACTCTATCAATGCTTGTTTCAACTTCTTCATTGCAGACGTGCAGTCCTTGTCCCACTTCCAGATTGTTTCTTTCTTTAACAGCCTGCGAAGGGGGGCAGCGATTGTAGAGAAGTTCCTCACGAACTTCCTATAATAGTTTGCTAGGCCTAGGAACGACCGCAACTCTGTCAACGTGCGAGGAGTAGGCCAATCTGTAGGATAGCACCTATGTCGTACTTGGGTCTTCGCCCACTCGCACTTCTTCGCATTGATCTTGAAATTAGCTTCTCGTAGCTTTTCGAAGACCTGCTTCAGATGACCCTCATGCTCCTGGAGGGACTTACTGAATACTAAAATGTCGTCCAGGTAGACTACAACAAACCTATCTAACCATGGCCTAAAGAGATCGTTCATGCAACGCTGAAATGTTGCAGGCGCATTGGTTAGTCCAAAGGCCATCACTATAAACTCATAATGCCCGTATCTAGTCCGGAAAGTTGTCTTGTGTTGATCATCAAGATAAACTTCTATCTGATGATATCCGGACTTTAAGTCTATCTTCGAAAAATACTTACACCCCTGCACCCGATCTAATAGGTCATCTATTCGAGGCAGTGGCTCTGCATTCTTCATTGTGATGGCATTGAGGCCCCTATAGTCTATACATAGTCTCAACTCTCCCTCCTTTTTGGGGGCGAATAGGACAGGTGCTCCAAATGGAGACGAACTAGGCCTAATCCAACCCTTCTCTAAAGGCTCGTCTAACTGCTTGCGAAGCTCTTCCAGTTGCTGCGGGGACATCCTATACACAACTCCCTTAGGAGTCTTGCTGCCCGACTCTATCTCAATGCGATGCTGGATCGGCTGCGGAACTACTCCTATCGGCGGCTGAACTAAATCCTTGTATCTTTCTTGCAGTTTGGCGATTGCGGGGTCTGTGGGTTTCTCTTCCGTAGGCTCAGTAATTGGCCTGACATAATCCACAAAAACCTGTTCCTCTAGTTGCTCCTTCCTAACCATTCGTGCAAATGCAGGAGCGCTAAGGCAGCAATGTGCCAGGGAGTCGTCTACTCCTGACACATGGAACAGGCGGGCAGTCTTGACTCCGCCTGACGGGCTAGGGAGCCTACACTCGTGATCTCTCAAGTGGAGTGTGGCCCCTGCTGCCTCTCCCCAGTCCATTCCTAGGACTATATCAAACCGATCTTCAAGGGAGTGGAGGACCTTCTCCACCTTCCCATTCTGCTCTAGGCGGAAGTAAGCTTGGACTCCCTCTACATAATCCTCGACTCACATAGTGCGGTTGTCTGTGAGGATACTGACTACAGGGTCTGCCAATTTCTGGACCTTTAACTGCAACTTCAGCTCTTGCAGCGCCTTCCTACTAATATAACTGCGAGTGGCTCCATTATCCGCTAAGGAGCCAACTCGGCTTCTAAAGATCTCTGTGTCTACTAGTATGAGCTGCCCCCTATTCTCTTTCTTCATCTTGGCCCAGGCGGGCATTCTCTCCTTTAACTCTTATGCCACGCCTGTGAGGGAAATGCCTAGAGAGACTCTAACGCATGTAGTCTCTGGGCAGCTATCTAGGCACCGGCCTGCAACTTCTGCCATGGGCTCATGTGGTTTGGGAGATTCGTGTTGGCTCGCTGACTTATCTCCACATGGCCCTGGGGTAGGGGCAGTTGCTACCCCTACCGGCGGCTGCCTTTTGACTCTTGGGCAGCCCACTGGGCTTCTCTATACTTAGGACAATATTTAATAATGTGGCCAGGGTCACCACGGTATATGCACTGTCCCTGGTCAACACATTCTTGCCATAAGCGCTGGTCCAAGCCCAGATCTTCCCGGGCCTGCCCTGGGGCAGCCCCGGGTGCCAACCACCTCTCCAGGAGGACGACCTGTTCCCCCTGTGTGGTGACCAATTTCCTCTACCAGGAGACCGATTTCCAGAACGGTTTTGCGAGGGACCTTGACCCCTACCTCCCGCTTGGTGGTTTCCTCCTCTACCGCCAACCCCCTGATCGCCCTGGCTACAACCCCCTGAGGCCTGGCCCCTTTGGCCCTGACCTCTTCCTCCTCCTTGCGGCCTCCCTCCAGCCGCGACAGCAGCGTAAGTCCTCCCTTGCCCTTCGCTACTGCCCTCATCCTCAAGCCCCCACTCTATCTGTTCGTAGGGAACTACTTCGACACCACCTTCATCTAAGGTAAGGATCAGACGATCCTTTGTCTTAACCTGACCAGAGATGGTGCGGCCCTTCCACTTTTTCCCCTTGTCTAGGTCATTGTGCCAGAAAGTGGAGACTGGCATGGACCATGCTTCAAACGCCACCACTTCCCTGCTCAAGGCGTCGTAGGTCATGGTGGGTTGCTGGCTCTTCTCAAAGAAGTGCCCTCGCAGCGATTCGGGCATAGCCCGGTAGAAGAGGTTGACCAACCGGGTCTCGGTGACCCCGTGGTCAGGGATTGCAATCAATTCATCCATTACACCTTTGAGTGCCATGGCACTCTTCCACTGACGCGAATGGATGGTTTGCAAACGATCGGAGGCTTTAACACTACGTGCAACATCTGTGAACCGCTCACGCAATAATTTTAGAAAGTCACTAAGGGGAGTGAACGCAGAGTACGCAACGACATCATTATTGCAGTTAGCGGCGCGTACCAGGGAACGGGCAAAACTGGCGGCCTCCTCTCTCAGGGCATGGATGGCGATTAGGACGTGCTCATCTGGGGAAACTTTCTGCAGGTGCACGTAGGTCTTAACATTCGCTTCCCAATTGTCAAAGTTCTCTTCCTTCTTCCCACAATAGGAATCAGGAAATTTGACCTTGACCGGCTCCCTACGGGGACGTACTTCCTCCCCTTTGGGAGTGGTTAGTCTGGCTCCCTCAATGGCGCCAGTGCAATAGCGCTCTGTCCCATTGAGGCGGCCCCTCACCTCGGTGCCCACCTGCGTAGCCAGTTCACGTGTAAAGTCCCTGAGCCCCAATCGTATAGAACGCACGACAATATCTTGGCTTCTACCAAATAGAAATTGCTCTTCCTGGACCTGTGCTAGGCGCTCTATATTCTTCGCCATAATTTCCACATTCCCCAATAAACCTACCTGTACCGCCATCTGATCTCTCTGTTTCTTTATCTCTTCTAATTCTTTCGCCGCCTGGCTAGCGGCCTCCATCCTTCTTTTCCTTTCCCTGGTGAGGCGAAACTTTCACTCCATCCTTTTCTCATCCTCCAACACTTGCCGCTTGAGTGGGTCCTCTTCAGCCTCCCATTCTCTTATAGCCGCCTCCTGCTCATCCTTGGGCACATACATTAATGCCTCCTCGTCTTCCCCCAGGGTTAGTCCTGCAACCCATTCTGTAATTCTCTTCTCCAGTTGATCCTCTTTAACCCCTTGGATTCTCCTTTGTCGCCTGCCCTCCGCCTTTCCAGTGGTTGCTCTTCTTCTTCTTCTTCCTCTTCCACTGCCTTCAACTTCTCTTCTTCCTCTTTCCTCAACCTCTCCTTCTCTCTGGCCATCTCCTCCTCGATCTTTTTCAGTTTGGCCGCCTACTCTTCTAATAAGGCCTTCTTCTTGGCCTCCTTCCTTTCTCTTGTCTCCTTCAGGGCGGCGGCGGCCTTGGCTTCCGGTTCGGGCGTATAGGGGGTGGTACTCGTGCCACTTCGTGTGTCAACCATGGTGAAAGATGCACAACCCAATGGCGGTTCCGCTCCTCACCACTTAGACTCTCGCCCTAACTGACAGGACCCACTGACTCGATCTATGGACCACAGGATCCGTATAGAACCCTGCCAACTATGGTCTCTAGCCTAGACTCTACTACTACAGCCATCACTACAGAGTCCGTTGCTGACCAGGAGGCATTTAAGGAGATCCCCCGTAACTCCTCAGGAATTCTTTAACGTCGCAGACAGGACGACACGGTCAGCAGGTTCCCTCAAGACTTAGACGGCCCGTTGTGCAGCCCACAACTCAGATTTCGGGCCTACTGTGCCACACCGAGCAGCCCGCCGGTCAGTACCGGTCCTTGGGAGGGTTTGTGTCCTCCGGGACAGTCGAGTCGTCAGACACAGACTTTAGCCCTACTCAGCCCGACAGGGGTTTGGTCAACGAGGCCCTATCCTTCATACACGGAGTCCTATCACCTGGACAGAAGAGACTCAATGCAGAAAGAAGAGACAAACAGACTCTGACTCAGCAAGTACCATACGGTGAGTGCACATCCATAGGGCGAGGGGATAGGCTAAGGGCTTGGCGAGATTATACCAACTCCAGCTTGGTCAAGTTGCGGTCAGCAGCTTCGGTCAACACCTTGGTCAACGCTCTGGTCAATGCCTGGTCAACCCTCTGGTCAACTCCCGGTCAACCCTCTGGTAAACGCTTGGTCAACCCTCTGGTCAACTCCCGGTCAACCCTCTGGTAAACGCTTGGTCAACCCTCTGTCGGCTATGGCTGCCAGCACCTTCTTCCTCGCCAACCTTCACTCTCTTTCCTCCTCCTTCGCC